TTTCTTAGAACTGATAAATAAGTATTGAAAAATATATTTTTCGCGAGTAGTCAATGGAAATAAAAATATCAAGGATTTTAACAACATTCTTTGTAAACTTGGAAACTTGTAAATTGATAGGAATTTTTTAATAATACACGCCGCACAAAAATTATCGCATCACCAATATTTATAAATATTGAAACTACGTGAAACGTATTTTTACATTTTTTGTCTATTTCCGGAATAGGCATATTTTAAGGCCAGGCCTGTGCAGTTTTTCCTTTGAGGATTTCCGCAATGTGTGTGGGTACTTTAACTGGCATACAATAACTATAAAATTTAAAATGTATATTTTGAGATTGATATTTTTGAGGCACATAATACATTTTGTTGATTAAAATTATTATAAATCTAGTTTTGAGCAAGGAATATTTCCCAAACCCGAAAAATTAATTTTATTCGATTATTTTTTTTTGCTTATAGTTGGTTTGGTTTGGTTAGGTGATTTGATTGCATTGGTTTCACTCTTTTGGGTTGGATTGGTTTAGTTATTTGGCGAGTTGGTCAGCGTGGTTATTTGGAGGGTGTTAATTCATTGGTTAGTTGGTTTTTCGGGTTTGGGAAATATTCCTTGCTCAAAACTAGATTTGCGTATTTTTTTCGGGCGTTACCCGAATTCGACTATTGAGCGTAACATATCTACACTGAGCGGCACGAAAAACGGACATCTTAAAATGTTGATGTATTTTAAAGTTTTATATACCGGGTGCGTCTTAAAAGTGGCTCACCCCTATAACTTTATTATTTAAAAAAATGAGATTTGGTATGTTAGTATATGACATAAATTAGGATTGATTGACGTATTCAATTAATTGTTTTCGGTCACTTCCTGTTTCACCGGAAATGACTACAACTTTTGATTTTTAAATAGCACCTTCAGCATTTTTTTACTTTATTTGATAGAAAATGACACTCTGAATAGAATGACATATCAATTGTCAACTTTTGACATTTTCGCATATGGTGTATTTGAAATTAAAACTTGCGGTTCGTAACGAAAATTTGACTCGAAATACCAAGTGTGTGCTATCAAATTATTCGTAAAAAATGCTTTTTCCGAATATGCTAATGAGCCACCCTCGTTCCATTTGAAAAAAATGAGTTATGATTAAAAATACGATTTCAGTATTTTCTAACTGGCCAGGAAAAGACACTAAAAACATTAGACAATCAAATTTATTTTTCCAAGGCTCCTTGATTAAGAATTAGTGTTTTTAACATAGCCATGGCACTCTAGATTGAATTTTAAAACACGATTTTTTATTCAGCGAGAATGGCAAAAGTTGACATATGATATGTAATTGTATTCAGAATGTCATTTCCTATCGAATAAAGTAAAAAAATACCGAGGGTGCCATTTAAAAATCAAGTGGTAGTCATTTCCGGTGAAACAGGAAGTGACCAAAACCAATTGAATACGTCACTCAATTCTAATTTATGTCATATACTAACGTACCAAATCTCGTTTTTTATCTGAAAAAAATAAAAAAGTTATAAGTGTGAGCCACTTTTGAGACGCACCCGGTATTATGTTCTAGTGGACCGGTTTTATTTTTAAAATATTAAGGTTAAAATATTTGACTTTTTAGTAGCTCTTTCTAAATTAAAAATGAAAGTTTGCAACTGTCAATTATACGAGGAAAAACAAATTGTTCATATTTTAGTGAAAGTTTGAACCTCTCTGTGGAATATATTAACAAAGCAAAAAATTAAAAGTAATTTTATCATCTAGATACTCTTTTCTCGATAGTTTGTTTTATAATTTTATATTTCTAGTTGGAGATATTGGCTTTTTAATAACTTTGGGTCTTCGTCAACACACTTATAAAATAGTGTTTATTGTTTTTGTAATGTCACTCTAATTGAAAAATTATGTGTTTATTGACGTTTACTCTAGTAGAGATGGGTTTTAAAGTTAAAGGCTAATGTTGAGGTTAAGGTTCTGAAGTATCGGCTATTGCTGTTTTAATTGATCATGGTAGAGATCAACTTTTGGACTTAAACCATATCTGCCAGAGCAACTGCCCAACTGACAATAATAGGATTTTTCAAAAACAGTGACATTACATAAATTATAAACACTATTTTATAGGTCTGTTGACTGGAACCAAAAGTAAAGGCATGCTTTTAATGTAAAAATACGAAAAAATGTTGTGCCTTTTCAAAAGCAAATATTTCGAAAAAAAATAAAGCTATTGAGATTAATCACAAAACAAACAGAAAATTATTAATCACCAAACTATTGAGAAAAGATGATAAAATTATTTTTAAATTCCATACTTTGATAATGCACTCCACAGGGTGTTTCAAACTTTCACCAAAAGATCAACATTTTGTTTCCTCTCGTATAATCGACAATGGCTAAGATGGCAACTTTCATTTATAATTTAGAAAGGGGTGTTAAAAAGTCAAATAATTTAACTACAAATTACTTAAAAAATCATCAAAATCGGTCCATTATAACACAATATATACAACTTTAAAATACATGAAAATTTTCAGGTGCCCGTTTTTCTTGCCAATGAGTGTATATATTCTATCTATTTTATGTAAACCTATGATATATTATAATACTAAACATAAGAAAATAAAAGTGTCGTTAGAATTAAAGAACAAGGAACCGTAAAACGTAAGTTACAGTGCATTATAAATTTCGTTTAGTAGATTTTGTAAATGTTTACTAAGTGATGATGGAACCCGTTTATTATCTCTATACTTTGAAAAAAACAAGTTCAGGTTTAGCGACTTCTACAACAAAATCACAGAATAAAAATAATTTTTTAAGAACTCGTAAAATTTTTTGACACGACGGACGATCCATTCCATTGAAACTGTTATAGTTATTTATAAAAAAACAGCTTAAAATAATAGCTTAAAAATAACAGGTTTCTTTATTTTACTGCTAAATATCTGAAAGAGTATGAGGCGGTCACCGCCAGGCGTATTAACGCAGTTGCAAGTTGCAACAATGACGTGCTCGGTGGTAGTATTTCCAGGGTGTCAAAACATTTCCGCCACTCGTCTATACCTATACATTGCGATCTACCTACGCCCTGCCCCTCGATCCGCGTAGATCCTGAATTGCGTAGCAGTGTACAGGGTGTATCTCACTCGACGGGCGAAAAGCTCTTATGATTTCACCATTTGCGGTCAAAAAATAGCAATATAAGAAAATGTGTAGTATATTCTTCATAAGTAAACCAACTACACACCAGAGTTCGAATTAATTTTACACTTAAACTAGCGTGTACCCGCGACTTCGTTCGCGTCGAATTAATAATTTCTAATGGTGATGATAAAGCAAAACAAGAATTTCCATTAACATATAAACTGGATAAAATTTTCTCACATTTGCCAAAAATAAGCTTTCTAACGTCCAGCAGTTTAAGCAGAATCGTGGTTAATCAATTACTCAACTTTTTGGAACACCATGTATGATTTTTTAAAAAATTTCAAAATATGTAAAAAAAAACAAAATAAATTATGCGTGTCCAGGCGTTTTCCCGAAAGACTAACCGTTTTTTAAATAACAAATGTTGTAATATTTGAGGGGCGTTTTCACCCTGTTGGAATTTGAGATTCGAGAAACCCCTCCTTATCGAACCTCAACCCCACAGTCAATCCGTTTGCAAAAAATCAGCTTTAAACGTCCAGCAGTTTAAGCAGAATAGTGATTACTCAATTGTCATATTTTATGAAACACCCTGTATATATTTTTTATAAAATCTTAAAATATGTAAAATAACATAATAAAATATACGTGTTTTAAGAGTTTATCCGAAAAACTCACCGGTTTTTAAATAAAAAATATTCTAATATTTGAGAGTAGTTTCACCCCCTTAGAATTCGAGTTTCGAAAAATCCCTTCTTATCGAACCTCTACACACTAAAGTCAATCCGTTTTCCAAAAATCAGCTTTTTACGTCAAGGGCTTTAAGCAGGATCGTGATTAATCAATGACCAGATTTTTCAAAACACCCTGTATACATTTTTAAAAAATCTTAAAATATTATTCTGAAAATTTTTCAGAATAAATAAATACCTAAATATTGAAACTTAATAAGTAAGTACTGAGACATACAGCGCCATAATATCTCGACCTCCGTCCGTTATGCACGTAACAGGTTGAAACAGAATGTATCTAAACAATACGTTAATCCTCAACCTGTTTCGAACCTCCATCGACAATCGACCGATGCAGCAGTGTTCCTCTCCCACACCGATTATCTCGACCGCCGCCCTGTTATGCTCGTAACAGGTTGAAAAACAACACATCTAAAATGACTGCTTCTTCAACCCGTTGCGAGCCTCCATCGACAATCGACCGATGCAGCAGCGTTCCTTTCCCACTCCTGTTATCTCCACCGCCAGGCGTTATGCCCGCAACTGTTTCAAAAAACCTGCTTCTTTTATATCCTATTATTTTTAAGCTGTTGCAAATCCAATACGACCATCGACGGTATCGACCGAAGCAGCTACGTTCGCCGTAGCGCTTTCCCCACTCCGTTGTCCGTTGTCTCGCCGCCTGTATCGATGGTTGACGAAATAACATGTTTTCCATCCGTACTAGTTGTTTTTTGGAATTGCTTCAAGTAGCATAGAATTTCGTGGTGATGCAGAGCGCCGACTTCGTTTTTCGTTTCACGAGCGGCCGATCTCTAAGTGGCGTTATTTTATATCTGCTATTTTTTAGAAGTAGTAACGGTTGCGTTATGTTATTTATAAATAATTTTTATAAAATAACAGATAGTTAAATAACAATCCATCACTAATAGTAACAATATTTGGCGCTATATTATTATCTAACCAATATTATTGATTATTGATTTATTTTATTAAGATTAATGACAGATGTGACAGCTGAAAGTAAGGGATAGACAAAACGTATTTTATTATCGGGTGCGATTGTTTAAAAGAAATTAGAAAAATTAGGTGCAAATTATGTTTTGACGTCTTACCTTAGAGACCTGTGTTGAATGCGGGTCAATTACCAAATCAAGTCCGAAATAATGTACTCTAATAATTTTTCCAGCTAAAAATCTAAGCAAAAGGTTGCCAGTTAAATCATACGGTGCTAACTTAGGAACGCTTAGTATAATCTGGCTTAGAAGTAGGGATGGTAAAGCTAAAATAGAAAAGAATTGACTGATTGAAGATTGGATTAATTTTATTGATGATAAAAATATAACGAATAAAAAGTGGAAAAGAACTACCACTTAAGTTTATTAATTTAGATATAGTTTTTTGATAATTGTATGTTACATAGTTCCTTTAAAAATGACTAAAAATGACACTTACTCCATGTATATTTTATACTACTAAGCAGAGAGAATAGAAAATTAATATCTTACAATCCATAAATGATTTACAATATAACTAAACAAATTAATAGAATATTTGCTTACAAAGATCGCTCGGTATTCCTTTAATTTCAAGCGAATTGTATCCTATTATCAATGGGACTCGATTAAAATCGCCAGTAGATAACAGCTTATAGGAACGATCACTGAGTATTGCATTCTCATGGTCAGGTTCTTGAACAACACCGAAAGGAAGTCCGGAAAAAATATCTGGAATATACTAAAGAATTGCAATTATAAGATATTTAAAATAGTTATTTAAATAGAAAGTACATACAAATAATAATAGTTTTAGATGGTGTTTGTTATAACGTTTATGTGTGCCTAGTAGGTACCAATTACGTCAACACTTTTTAATAGGCTTATAAACTTTTTTTTTATCGTTAAGGTAAATTTTTAATTTTTCGGGAGAAAAGCCATCGAAAAGATCCATTTGGATTCTATGCAGTTGTATTTACAAAAAATAAGTTTTTAATTTTTTAGATTTCTGCTTCGGTGGAAAAACAACCAGATGTTTTTCAAGTTACAATTTTTTTATTTATTTGCCAATCGGTTAAAACGCTAAATGAAAAAAAAATGTATTTTTTTAATATTAAAAATATTTTGTTTATTTTATATAATTTTAAAATAATAGTTTATATTTAGTTACTATAAATATTTAGTAACGTAAAGAAAATTAAATAAATACATACTGATAACGTGACATTATTTTCGGCTACTTTTAATTTTCTATAGTCCACTTTCCGAAGACTATCAATCAGATTCTTTGTGCTATTAGTAGTTTTTATATTGAGTTTTTTTCCAACATCAAATGCTTTCTTTCTGGCATCTCTACTCAAAGCCCATAAACACAAACTTGTCCCACTTTGCATTATAGCACCTGCAAATAGCCCTAAAATGATGAGAAATCCAAAATTAATAATTTCTTACTAAATAGTGCCCTACATGTTTTAGAAAAGTTTTGTACTTAAACGCAACAATGTGTCCAGCGATGTATATAACCTAATACTCGGCATAAAATTAACCTCATTTGCAAGTATTATTTGTGAACCTATATTTCGCTTGCTAAGGTGTCGGGATCGGGGTACTTTTCAATGAAGTTATCTAATAAACTTCCTGAAGGTATTAAAAATTTATCTCTATCCAATTTTAAAATTAGGGTAAAGAGACTCTTATTTCCTAAGGCATTTTATTGTTATAATGAATACCTGGACGAAAATATGGTATATATGTATTTTTGTAAACCTATATGTAACCCGGGCCCCGCTTCTGGAGTTTAGTTAACTGAGAAATCGTCAATGTCAATCGTCAATATGGTATCGAATCCGGCGCATGGAAATATTGCCAGCTTATCATTAACATATATAGGTAAGTTGACAAAAATGATAATAGTAACATTTGAGAACCGCCGCGGCGGTAGCAATCGGAAATCAACCGCAACTATTAAGAAACTACCCGGATCTCAGTTTGATCGACGTCCGGTGTTGCTACATCGACTACAAAGTCTAAACGATAAGCAAAGCCTTACATTCCACCAAACGAGTAGCGCTGTGTCGCCCAAAATAAGTTAAAAGTTAAAAAAAAACTTACCTACGTTAAAAAAAATATACTGATATCATGAAACTGAAAAGAGAGAAAACCGGACTAATATTACGATGGCAAATATTGGCGCGAAAAAAACGGACAAGAACGGGCCCAATTGCCAATTATTCTGGAAGCGATATGTTTTCCACACAAATAATTCCGGAAATAGACAATTATTATCTAGAGATTTTGGGAATAAACAACGTTAGAACGGCTTAGAGAACTTCAGACACTCTCAGAAGAATTACTATTATACTCTAGCCAACCACCTACGCTAATCAAAGAAAAACAATAAAAACGGAGTGGCTCTTCTCACAACTTAAAGGTCCTTATAGACTATTCTTTTATAATCTGTGACATAATCCTGATACAAATCTTACAATAGTGTAGTGCATTCCAACCACTGAACACTCCACCGATAAAGACAAAGACATCTTTTATGAAATATTGAACACCATCCTCAATGCACTTAAACTATAACGCCAAGTTGGAAATGATAACCATAATTTTGAAGATATAATGGGAAAACGCAGATCGGTCAATCGAAACAATAACGACAGAAAACTGTTGCTCTAATTACCAATTAACTACAGGAGGTACACTTTTTCCTCATAACGCAGTCCATAAAGCTAAGTGAAAATCACCAGATGGGTCCACAACAAACCAAATTTGTGACTTTTTAATTATCCGGGGGTATAGAAACTCACTTTTTGATGTAAGAGCGTACTGAAGAACCAACATAAACCGGGATCACAACCGCTAAGACATTAATTCAATCTTCGGCGACTGGATTCTCCTAATATTCAAAACCAAATAATGCAACAGATAGAAAAAATAAGCATCGGTAACTAAAATGTAAAATGTAAATATAGATGAGAAGTGAGAAGTAAAAAAAGCCTTCAAAAGATCGCCGAAGAAAATCTTGGGTCAGAGACACATTAAGAATGTGTATCTCAGATGGCACATGGGAGAAAATTGGATAAAGAAAAAAAAATTAAAGAAAAGATTTTACCAACAGGTCGCATCACACAAAAAAAGCACTAAAGGAGGAATATCGCACAAAGGAGGGAAGAGGTCAGCAAGAAACGCCGGTGGACAGAAGAACTTCAACAGAAGATCAGCTGCAGATGGACTGACAACGTCTCCAAGAGCGAGCTGATCACGTGCAGACTCATGCTCAACTGCATGCACATGATAAAACGTGCTCCATAGATAGACTCAATGAAGCAAGCATATTACAGCGGGTAATATTACCGCAGAACTATTTAAGAAACACCCAGAAAGTATTTATCAAAGTATTTAGTTACTAATACTGTAGAACTGTTGTAATACATTACTGTACTAATGATGTGGAGATGTGATGATGTATACTTTAGGGTATAATAAATAAGTAGGAATTGACAGAATTAGTACTTTATAGTTTATTTTCTTGTTAACAATTTTTTTATTAGTATCAAAAAACGCCAGTAGTTGACAGGCGAAAATTTCCATATACCCAATGGATGACATGTATTTTAGCAATCTTGAACACCCAAGTAACAAAATTCCGACTTCCGACTAGTTTTGACTACGCGCAACGTTGAAATTGGTACTTTTCCCTACCCTATGCATACCCAAACCTCAAATTACGTAGCCAAAACGTCGCTACGACGTTGCACTTAAACAGTTGTATATTTTGACCCTTAACAACGTTGGCAAACATTGTAGGCCACAACGTTGTTAGAAGTTGGGTTTTATACCGTTGTCATTACGTCGCCAGAAGGCATGTTTATTGTACTACAGAATAACAAACGTAATACAACGTTGTGCGACGTTTCATTAAACGACCCAAAGCAACTTCAAAATTATAACGACTACGTTGGATTACGGTGACCAGCGCGACGATGTCGATTTTTGTTGTAGAAGCGGAACTATCTACACCTAACCTCAAAAAGATCTGTACTGTACTGTCACAGAGCAATTGGTTAGGTATTTTTTCTGATGTACTTACTGCGTAAAGCGAAAAGAAGGATGTATAGGAAAAAATTATATAAATACTCTACAACTTTTTATAGAAAAAGGAAAAGGTATTTAGAAGAAAGTCAGCGAGCAAGTCAGTGTCCGAAAAATGAAGTGGAAATAACGAGTTTAGGTTCGTCATCCATATCCTAGCAATCATGTATCGAAGGAACGTCCACTTCAATTTGAAAAGTAATAGAGTGCTAGTGGTAGCTTATCATGAATGGATACTATAGAAATAAATAAGATACTATAGAAACACCTGAAGCCCATACAACACAGGAATACTGTGAGAATAATGATCCTACAGAGGAGTAGTCAACTGATTTTCAGTTTCAGCATAAATTGAAGAGAATATTAGATTTTAATTTTCAAATGAGTGGTAAAATAAACAATACTTCCTATACTGCTGTTTTAACAATAAATAAATAGAAATACTGATCTAATGTCAGCGATCTTATTAACGAGTATGTGACCACCACCACCAAAGAATCCCAGCTTTCTTCTTTATTTTATTGTTCCTAGGTAAAAAAGAGCACTGTAAGATGGAATTTTCTTATTTACCTCCTAGATGTCGGTAGGGTTCAGAGGTCCTATTTCGTCAAAGCAGGTGTCAATTTTTGAACCAAAGGTTGTCATAGGTGATCCAAAGGTCGATTACCGCACCTTATGCACTATATTGGTATTTTAAAGGTTGCCTTAGGCAACTCCGCCATTTTAATACGATTTATCTGTTCGTGCGTTGTGGACGAATCGAATATAATATCAGAAACCACAAAATACTGCGAATTTCGTTAAAAAACTGTATCTATTAGGGTTGTAAGCTAATTTTCCTGATAGATTTCGTATATTTGTCTCAAAATTAAAAAAAAATAAGTTAGGTTAACCAAGTAAACTATAATTTTAAAATTAAAACTAGGAAATAAAAAAGGGGTTTTGCCATATTTCGAAGTATCGTGGTCACTTTCAACAGTAAACTAATCTTCGTTGATGAATTTCGATTGCCGATATCTCAAAACTTTGCAGATTTGTCGAAGTTAAATTCACCTAGTTATTTCTTAATAGAGCATGATATATTCCATTTCTAATTCATACATCATCAGCCATCACCAAGTTAATCGAAATCAATGTATTGGTTTCCTCATGGTTGAATATAGTAATATTTGACGACGAATATTTTTAACTCTAACCTCAAAATATCGCAAATCGGCATGAAAAATAACTTTTAGCACACGACGTACTACGTCGCCTCAAACAACGTCGCCAACGTTGGCGACGTTGTAGCGACCCTAAAAACATCCACCATTTTGAAGAAATTTGGGTTTTTAGGCCGTCGTTTAAAGCCTAAACCACTACATTAAACGGCTCTACGGGGAGGAGCTATTCAGATTGTACCAACGCCTGGACAAGACAGGGAAGCAAAAAGCTCAATTGCTATCATCGCTTGCTTTTCTGTGACGCTGCCGAGACCAAAACGTAATACCAGGATTTCTCAAAATGAAGAGGGTATTATTATCTACTCAGGCAAATCACCTTTACTCCAGGATGGAGAAAAACTTTCTTCGTGAGAGGATTCATACATCTAGAAGAGACTTAGCAACAGTAGACAGGGAACTGCTCGATCTATTTTATACCCTTTCGGCTAATATGAAAACTGTAGGCTGGGACAAGATTGACGGCATAACATTCCAAAATATGCAAAATGAATTGGAAAGAACATCAGCTCGCCAGATATACCCTGACCAAGATCAAATATGAAAAACTCCAACCAAAACCCAAGCGAGAATATAGGACATCTCTTGATCCTGCTCGAACCGTGGTGAATCTCTCAGATAGGACTCTCACAACACCAGGAGTAACATTATTAGCTAAGGGAGGAAACTTTGCCATAACACCAAAAGTGGTTCCAGTGGAAGACATTATTGCCGGAACAGAAGCTGCCATACGTAACCTTCCTAAATAAAACAAAGAAAAGAAGTTTTAAAACAAGTTTTGAAACAGCCAACACATTGAGAAGTGCTACGATTCTACAACCAAAAGTCGGCAACACAAACTCTTATGTGAAGGACTCAACACATTTCGTTCAAAAGTTAAAAGACCTTCTAGTTTTAAACTAGAACCATCCGACATCATGGTAAGCTTCGATGTGGTATCCCTATTCACGAGAGTACCCCTAGGCGAGTCAATGGATCTAATTAAGGAATCATTTCCACCCGACATCGCGGAGCTTTTCCGAGTGTGCCTGACTGGTATTATTACGAACAAACAGCTCAATAATTCCTAATTTCTTTATGGAAAGATTTGAAGAAAAAGCGCTAGTCATCAGTTCTGAAGCCCGCAGTATGGTTTCGTTATGTGGACGATACATTTGTTGTTTTGAAACATGGACGAGACAGCCTAGATGACTTCCTTCATCACCTTAATACACAGAGCCCGAGCATAAAATTTACCATGGAAACCGAAGAAAACAACTAACTGGCCTTTCTCGATGTGCTTGTCAAGAGAAATGGAAATAATTTGGATCACACGGTGTATCGCAAACCCACTCATTGTAATGAAGTCCGTATATTTTTTTATTTAACCGGTTAAATGCTAGGCGTGAACATATAACAAACACGGCATGATAGCGCGGCGTGAAAGTACTTCGCTGGTACACCGAAGGGCCCGGGTTCGATCCTGCCTTGGGACCTAACATTTTTATTTTTTTTATCATTAATAGTCTCATGGTAAATGTTTAAATATTTGTTTTTTTGATCACCAGGACGGATAGCGTTTGTGGATTTATGAACCATACTGTATATAAGTAGAATTTGATATGTTCATTTGTTTTGAAGGATTATGGTAACAAATAATTCTTAGACAAGCTTAGTATGGTTTATTTTTATTTTTAGAACTGTTATGATAGTCTAAAACTGAAAAATACTTTTAATATTAAAAATTATTTGCTGATAAAATTGTGTTAAATATTTCGTCGATTTGCATGGAGACGTTGAAGTTTTTATTGTTGGTACAAACAGCAAATGGTTTTTTGTAGGATCGACGGGCAGAAACCGTTTTTTTTTACTGTAAGGAATCTTGATGGGAGGTAGGACGATGGTAACCGAACGTGGTTCGTGGTTCCGACGGGAAAGATTATATAAGCGACGAGAGCGCGAAAACGGGGTTCTTCTTCCTGTTGAGACTAAGTACCGGTGATCTTTACTGAGTAAACCTCGCGAGTTTAAGTCAATTCTAATTTTTTATCAGCGCTGCTGCAAGAAACCGAATTCTTGAGTTTTAAAGTAAAAGTACCGTATGTCCGTTTTTGATTTTAAATAAGTATAAATCGTGGTCGCAGAGATTTGATTTAAAATAAGTCTAAACCGTATTTCTGATTTATGAGTATAGATAGTTAAAAACCGAGCATTTAAGTTTTTTTATACCTGACCGTGAATAGACAACCAGACCGTTTCGTTTTGATCCGACGCCGATTTTCTTAAGTTTTCTTTATACCTGACCGTGAATAATTAGTGTGCCTGGATTCCGGGCTGCTGTAGGCGATTCAGAAAACCAGACCGTTTCGTTTGATCCGACGCCGATTTACTTAAAAAAAAGAGGTAATCACATTCTTTCTTTTTTTTTGTAACCGCCAGATACCCCATCAGAGTTCTAGTAATCACAAATTTTAGTTTCAGCACAGTAGAGTTTTTTATTTGATTTTTATGGTGTAAAATTCCTTTACGGAGGAGGAGTTAATTAAGGTTCCTCTTTTGTTTACCATAATAATAATATTTCTTATATATCTGATTTATTTAAAGATGCATGTGAATATGTATTGCTAGTATTTTTCTATTTTATTTATTTGAAGATATTGAATTTAAATAATATGAACTTAATTATGTGCTGTTGTAATTAACTGATTTAATTTCTCTGTGTTAGATTTTGCGATATTTCATGATTTAGTATTTTCTTCATATGTTGTTTATTTGAAGATATTGGATTCATAATTAATTTAATTTATTAATTAATTACTTAAGTATTTGCTATTGTAATTAACTGATTTAATTTCTCTGTGTTAGATTTTGCGATATTTCATGTTTTAGTATTTTCTTCATATTTTATTTATTTGAAGATATTGGATTCATAATTAATTTATTTAAATAAACCTCATTATGGAATATATTCGACTTTAACTGGCTTTTACCCCATTTCCCTGGATTCTCCACTGTAGAAAAGCTACCCGTATTGGCCGAGGTGGTCTCTCAAACACTTTAAACTTTGGGGATGGCGCCCGAGAACAAAAAGACAGACTGTTAGGCGTTAGTAATAGCTCTCAAGGAAAAAAGGCTGTTACATCATACAGACCGGTACTTGCACAAACTGTCAAATCACCATCCAAGCCAAAAACAGTGGATTATCGGAACACTAGCAAATAGAGCAAAACGCATTTGTGCTAAGGATCACATACAAGAGGAACTAATGGGTATAATGAGAAAGAAATAAAGGCGGCGTTAGCACCTAGGCAGAGGAGACTTGACGTCAATGAACAGAATAACCTCGTTAATAAGGCCTTCCTTCCATATGTCTCCCAGGTCACCGATAGGATTGGAAAAGTTCTCAGGAAACACAACTTCAAAACAATATACAAACCTACCCGGAAAATAAAGGACTGCTTGAGACCAGCCAAAGATAAAAGGGTACCATTATCCTCTGCAGGGATCTACCGTATACCTTGTTCCTGCGATAGCGTATACATTGGAACTACCAAACGTTCAGTAGGAACGAGACTTACGGAACACAAGAGAAGCTGCAGGTTATGGCAAACAGACAAGTCGGCCGTAGCAGAACATGCTCTAAGATATGGTGACCACAAAATCCACTTCGAAGTCACCCAAGTCATTGCCACAACATCTGGATATCATCCTCGTCTGGTCAGGGAAGCTGTTGAAATTCACAAACATCCAAATAATTTCAACAGGAAGGAAGAAACTCTCTACCTAAACAGAATTTGGCATCCAGCTATATCTAGGACCAAGGTAGCGGTACAGAGAAGTAGACCAGTTCCGGAAGAACCACCACCGGAACAAGCCACGCCCCTTCCGCCGACGCATAAATACGCGCTACGCCGACGCGGAGGCATCAGTCATCAGTCTAGTGTGAGCAATCGGAGCAAACACACCTCTGAGGATGCTAGCCACTCGTGCTAGCGAAACGTTAGGAAGCAATTCTAACCGACGACGGCCTAAAAACCCGAAAAACCAAATTTCTTCAAACGATGGCCGCGAAAGCCTAAACCACTACATCCACCACTTTGGTGCAAATATGGGTCGCTTAGACGTCGCTTCGACGTTGTTCGGCAACGTTGGGTTTCTCCTGGCGACGTGATTACGTTGAACAACGTAATTTTGCTACTTGGGCCTTTTACATGCCATTCTGCTTTCTCGAAATTCTAAAGCTTTCCAATAGTATTTTTTTAATCTAAATATTTATTGACCTATAGACAGTGAAAAAGCTAGATTTGGGTAATATGTCGGGAAAATTTTGGTATTATACTTTTAAAATGTTTTAGGACTAATAATTGCCACGGATATTGTGAAAGGTTGATACTATAGGACTTGCTATATAAATTGATATTTTATTTAAAATCGCTTATTTTTAAAAAATGTGAAGTTTTACATAAAACAATACAAATGCTTTAAAAAAAACATAGATTATTTTATCCATCAGTGTCAATCGCTTTCTTGAATTGGTATTTGAGTCTATGACCAGCAACTTGCAAGTCCGAAATCGCCAGAACTTCACTAACTAGACTTAAATTGGCGATTGATACCATTCTTATTTAGTACAAATGTATTTATTCTCAAAGAAAGCGCTCTTTTCAGATCGAACACCTCGGCTTTGTCATTGAGCAAAATTTTTTGTATGACGCAAATGTGTTTGTGTTCCGGTTATTAGCGAGAAATAAAACAACCAAAATAATCGTCTTTTTTACAAACTAAATTAGTTTTATCCAGAGCTCTGTCCAAGTAGATTTTGAACAGTGAAGGAGATAAGCAGCATCGTCTTAATGCTTTTGTTGTGTTGACATCCTCATTTTTTATCTTAATTCTAACAGAGTTATTTTTATAGTAGGTCTGTTTAGCCCAAATCAATATTGGATTATTATATTAGTATTTGTAACAAAAATATACAAGAAGCAACTAATGAATGTGTACAGATACTGATATCAATTTTTGTACTGATATCAATTTTGATAGAACAATAATAGTAAACAAAACACTGTTTTAAAACGTTGAGATGATAAGTGGCTATCTGCTAAATTTTGCATGGTATGAATATAAATAGTTTTACAATAAATGTTAAAATATATAAAAATAAAAAATAGAGTTGTATAAGCCATATAAAAGAATACACCTTTGAAATTAAAAGAAATCACTCAGCAAATCATTCAGCACACACACAACTTATAATTTTTAATCAACGATTATATATAGTTATATTACCTTTTGATAACTTGCTATCTACAATATATGATACAGATGCAGCTCCAGCACTCTCTCCAAATATTGTTACTTTATTTGAATCTCCACCAAAGCGTTTAATATTGGTTTGAACCCATTTAAGCGCTAGTAGCTGGTCTTTTAATCCCCAATTTCCTGTTGCTGCGTTGTCTTCAGTACTATTCAAATTTTTAAAGTAACTATAAGCTTGAAATATCAAATGAAAGATAAGAGTGTTTATTGTACCTTAGAAATCCAAATACACCCAGCCTGTAATTAAATGAGACAAAAATTATGTCTTCGTCAAGGAGATAATCAGGTCCCCCGTTTCGGTAAGCTGATGATCCACCAATAAATCCACCACCATATATCCAAACCATAACAGGAAGAGTGGCGTTGAGCTATAAAAAATAATTTATATTTTTTTTGGGAATTGTTGAATAATGTTGATATAATAGAAAATAACAATAATTTTATATTTAACCCTCCTGTACTCGCGTGGATCATTTTAATACCCCATACGAAATTTTATTTAGTTTCTCTTATCTTTTATTTAGTGCATGTAGATATGTGATCAATCGTGCCGAAGCCGCTTCTAAGGCCTGGTTGTTTTCGTGATTATGCAGCATCTAGCGTATTCGGTTGTGTATTGTTTTTGTAACTGTCTTGTATGTTACCGGTAGCAGGGTTATTGGTCTATGGTTTCTAATGTCTTATTTGCCGCCTTTCTTATGAATCAGAATTATGTAGGCGCTATTACAGTCTTGCGGTATATGTTTTCTGCTTAGACAGCTGGTGTATATATTTTTACTAGGATTTTCCTACCCGGCGCGGTACTTAAGTACTTAATTCAGCTGTTATTCCGTCGACTCCAGCTGCTTTTCCATTTTTCATATCTTGAAGCGTCTTTTCTATATCTCCCAGAACTCCTGGGGCGTCGTCTTGTATTACGTACAGTCTTTCTTCTTCATGTTAGTTTTTTGGAGCTTTATATAGGTCGCTATAGAATTTTGTTACCGGGAGTATTTTTTCGTTTTTGTCTGTTATTATGATGTTGTGTGTTCATGCGATTAGCAGCTTCTTTCCGATTATGAGGGATTTCTTAGCGTTCCTATAGTTTGTTCTGTGTTCGATTGCAGTTTGCTTAAGTTTTCCATTGTAGTTTTTGATATCTTCTGCAATCATCTTTCTTATTGTGTTAAATAATTCTGTGTATTATATTCTATGTATGCTGCTTTCGATTTTCATTTCTCCTCTTTTCTTGAGAAGTGCTTTTGCCTCATAAGTCAGTTTATTATTTTTGTTATGCCGCTGGGGCCCCCTATTTCATTTGTACCGTTTTTTAGTGTCCATGAACTCTTGTGTGTTTGTTGCTTCTTCAGGCAGCCTACTGTCCGGCAGCTGCTCCTATTCACTGGTTCTTTCTTTTAATATGTTAGCGTTTACCCTGTTTGTTGTATTTACCAGTTTGTTTTTTGTATCACTTGCAAGCAATATTTCTCTGACAGTTGTAGTGTTAGGCTTGCCACTTTATCTGTGTGTGTGAAATACCTGTTATGTTCACCACTCTGTCCTTCCATTCCTTTTTGATAAAAGAAATTAGTAGATATTATACCTTTAAGTAGAACGATTGAAGTTTCCCGATTGAAGTTCTGCACTCTTGGATGATTCCCAGGGACCACCTACTTTGGGGCCAATTGGGCTTACGGAGAATGAGGACATTGGTTTTGGTAATAAATAAAAATAAAAATTGTTTCAAAAAAATTAAGAATTTTAGAAATCAAATAGGGCGAGATTGAGTTTGTTGCCGCTGTTTATTAAGTACATCTTAAAAATATTCAACAATTATTAATAAATATGTTATTAAATAGTAAGCCAATTTTGAAAATGCAATCAAAAACTTTCTGCAATATATTTTTTTACCGATCGCAAGTGATTTCTTTGGTAATTCGTAAATGGCAAATATTTAGAAGATTCAATTAATTCTTGACAAATTTGGTAAAAGCTGCTTCTCTCTATTTTTCATCATTCTCGATTGAATATTACACGTGCAAAAAATATCCAAAATGGCAAATCAAGGTGTTATTTATATCCCAGAAGTCATGACGGGAAAACCTAGTTAGCTTCACGAAAAAAATATGTAAAATCCATCAAAAATGGCCTAACAAATGAGGCCAAAGCAGTTTTTCACTCCGAAAATTCAGTTTATTAGTATCTAGTTACAATTTACAAGTTGCATTATTACACATTATTACAAGTTGCATTCTGTATTATTACACAGAAAAAATAAACATATTATAGAGGGTCCGGCAATAGTGCGTCGGACATCTGTTACTACTACAATAAAAATATTGGAAATTTTGTTTAAGTGTAAACCTAAAGTATGTACGAGGATGTATTGCAGGAAAATATTTTAGCTTCTATAGGGTGGCTCAAAAAATGCGAGTGGATTAGGGTGATTTTTTTTAATTGGAACACCCTGTATATTATTCCATTTTAGTTTCCTCTCAGATCACTTTACATAACCCTAAGATTGTGTAAATATTTTCGGTAGTTTCGGAGATATGAATAAATAAATAAAAAAATATATACTTTTTAGCCTTACTTAAAAAAATACATTGGAAATACAAGAACTATAATAATACAGTATACTATTTTTTATTAGATGAAGAATTAAAAAATCACCATTTTTTGTATTCAAAGTATTTCAAAATTTTTAATGGTTTCTCAGACACGTGCACTATTATTTTCATATGGCTCTCTCAACGGTGGCTTTGATAAAATTTATTGTGGAAAATTCTATATGAAATATTTATTATTTTGAAGTGCTCAAAAATGCTATGCAAAAATATTCATTTCTTAATTCTGTATCTATTGAAAAAATAATTCAGGGTGGCGCACCTCATTCGTCTTGGTTGATTATATGAAAACGGAAAGGTGTAGAAAGAAAATATTTTATGGGTATATGTGGGAAGGCAATGTGCATAATTTAAAATTATTTTGAAAAATTGTGCTGAGTTTAAAGGTAGAGAAACAAACTTTACTGAAAATGTTATTGCTTCCTTAAATTTATACAGGGGTATCAAAATTACTGATCAATATTACGGATATATTTTACATAAAAACTTGTTATTTCAAATAAAACACCCTGTATTTTTTATAAGTCAAAGCAGATTCAAATGCTCTTTCAAACTATATTAGGGTTGCCTGTACTTATCTAGCTTAGATTTTGAATAAAGAGCAATTTTTCAATAAAATGGCAATCAAGAGGGCTAGTGTCGTCAAGACAAGTTTCTAGTTATAGTAGCTAATTTCAAAATCGAAATTAGTTTATAGCTGTATTTAAATTTATACTTTTATTTAATATACTTACAATAGTTTAATAAATAATATTTATTAAATATGTATTTATTATTCTATCAAGAAAAACGAAGAAGTTGTTCTTTGAATCATTTTACGTTGACTTGTAGATATATGGATTTTTTATAAAAGAGCCAATTACAGCAAATTCATTTTCTTCACTTCCAACGACAGGTTTCTGCCTAATAGATGTTTTATAAACCAGGAAAATTCTTATTTGGATATCTTTGAGCATAAGCCCTTGATGCCAAGAAGCAATTTTCCTCACAAAATAATATCACTAGTAACATATCTATTCATTCCGCCAGCAGATACTGCTTTATTTTTCTTGATAAAATAAATAATACTTACTTATTAAACTATTATAGGTAAATTTAAGAAAACTGTTATAATTTATAAATAATAATGTCCATAAACTAATGTCGACTTTGAAAATAGTTACTAACTGTCACTAGAAAATTGCCACAATGGCGACACCAGCCATCTTGATTGCAATTTTATTTAAAAATCGCTTTTTATTAAAAATCTGAGCTAGATAAGTATACGAAACCGTTATACAGTTTGAGAGGGCATTTGAATCAGCTTCGATTTATTTAAAAAAATACAGGGTGTTGCCTTTGAAATAACGAAGTTTTTATATAAAACATATCCTTAAAATAGATCAGCATCTTTTGATAGCCCTGTATAAATTTAAAGAACCAATACCATTTTTCAGTAAGTTTATTTCTCTCAGTTTAAAGGTTTAAACTCAGCATAAGAATTAATTCTGAAAAGTAACGTACAGGGTGTTTATAGTCTATTCTATTGTAGCATGAAAATTTAAATATCTTTAAATATCTCAAAAATTAAAGATTTTAAATATTTAACCCTTATAATAAATGCCTTTTTGTGCCCAAGGATACACAAAAATTAGATAAAATACCGGGTGTTCCATAAGAAAAAATATATCTTTGGTATGGATCTTAGTTCTGAAACAACCTGTATATTTCAAAATAATTTTAAATTGTGCAAATTGTCTCCCCACATATACCCATAAAATATTTTGTTTCTACATCTTTCGGTTTTTGTATAATTAACCGAGGTGAATGAGGTGCGCCACCCTGTATATATATATTTTTTATTTATTAATATCTCGGAAACTATCGAAATATATTTACTCGTATCTTAGGATTATGTAAAGTGGTCTGAAAGGAAGCCAATAATGCAATAATATACAGGATACAGGGCTTTCCATATTAAAAAAATCATCCCAATCCACTCATACTTTTTTGGGCCACCTTATAGAAGTTAAAATATTTTCCTCAAATACATCCTAGAACATACTTTATGTTTGCACTTTAACAAAATTTACAGTTTTTTTCTTCTAGGAGCTACAGATGCCCGACACACTCATGGCTGAACCCTGTATAACCCTGTATAAATACATAAAAATCTATTAATCTTTAAATGAAAAATGTATGGAGAAAATATCTTTATAATTTAAAGAAATACCATATAAGCAATATATCTAGATCTAAAAATAAACCTTTTTAATTTTTTAATGTGTTTCTGTTTTCAAAAGCGGTTACTACTCTGAAAACCGATTATTATTTGAGAACAATGTTTAGACAGCTATTCTTTATCCTCCATATAAAATGTTTCATCATAAATCGTAAATCGACTTGTATCCTCGCGAGCACGATATGCCACACACGGTGTTGGTTGCTTGCCGAGAAATCCTCGAGTATCGACAAAAATCCTCGAGACATACCGAGGATTTTAATACTCAAGTGACCGATTATTTTTCACTCAATGATCCCATCACTGGAAACTACCAACAGCCAAACTTTAAGACAGCTTATCACTTGCTTCTCTTAGATAGGATGGTTTTCAGTCTGAATGAATTTCTACTGGCATTTTAGGAGAGTGTGGCAGTTCTTACAGCCATACTTAAATACATACCAGTTGAGCAGGCCGGTTTCAGACCACAACGTAGCTGCACCGACCAAGAATTATCCATCATCATATACACGGAAGTCGGTTTTCAAAAAAAACAAAAGAA